GGGGGGAGGGAGGGAGGAAGGAAGGGAAGAATATGAGGGAAAAGAATTAATGGAATCTCAGTGACACATAGAGTTAACTAACTCTGTATAAAATTATCAACATTGACTCATTAGTTGCAACAAATGTGCCATATTAGGGCAAGGGGTTAATAATGGAAGGGGGTATGGCACGGGGCATATAGAAACTCTGAATCATCTTTGCAATTTTAAATAAACCTAATAGTATTCTAAAAAAGAAAAAACGATTTTAAAATGTTGGTTAATAGTTTCAGAACTTGTAGTAAGAATCCTAGTACTAATAATAAGCGATAGTGATACAAAATCCCTCTGCAGGCTAGAAGAGAAAAGCTGTTGGCCTTGATCCCACTGTGCACACAAAGGCAGAGTGCAATTTATGCTCCATTGAGGAACTATAATCTTAATTTTAACCATCGGATAGAAATGTGTTCAATTCACATTAAAACAAAAAGAAATCCCTGAATAGAACCTTTATCTAGAAGTTTTATGAGGATGACAGAAGGGTTGTGGGGAAAGGCGGAATCCAAACTTTCCTATGAGAACTATTTGCCACTTAATCCATCTATTTATACACAGCAAAGAATAAAAGATATACAGAAGGACTTGAGGTCAAAAATTTCAGATGATCCTCAGAAAGACACTCACCCTTACCCACAGAGGCCAAGGACAGAGGCCCATCCAGCAGGTCCTCTTGCCCTTATACCCTCCTCTCAACCACCTCTGCCAACAATCTCTTAAATATTTTTTACATTTTAATCAACTGATTTTGACGGTCTCCTTTGTTAGCTGCCCATATGCTTTGCATAAATGGCCACCTGCTCCACGTTGACTGAAATGGCTACCCAGAGCGGGCATCTTCCCAAACTCAACACACAGCCCTGCTGCTGTACCTGTTTTGGCAGCCGTGTGTCCTCCTGTCCAGTAAAGGAGGCCAAGCACTCCACAAAGTGTTTCATCACCTTGTCAGAGGAGAACGGTGGCTTTTCTAACGGTCTTCACGGCTGACTAGGGAAGGAAGCAGCTCCACTTCTTTGCATAGTCTGCAAGTGGAACATGAATGCTGGATTACTTCTAGGCCCCATGATATGCACCACTAAGATTCTCAGCAGGGACATTCTCTCCACCTCTCTTTACCTGAAGATTTTGTTATAGATATCACCTGGGCCAGAAATCCTTGCCGATCACCCATCAATCCCAAGTGCAGATCAGTGGCTGTCATAGCACCAAAGCTTCCCGTGTCTTAGCGTACGTCACTTTGCAACATACCTTCCCTTCGGATTTAAGGTATGTGAAGGAATTGGCACTATCTCTCTGGAACTGGCAATGTCTCTCCCGTAAGTCTTGAAGATCTGGCACATGGATACACAGAAGGATGCAAGTCGATCACTTTGAATGTTTGTCAACCAAAACTAAATCATAAGATCGCCTCTCCCGAGTTGTATCATGGTGTTTCTGAGGATCTTTACATCTTGGGGCAGAGGCTGCTGTAAAGAAGCAGTTTTTTAGATCACTTCATATCCCACATACTATGATTAAAACCAATGCGCAAATTCAATTTTTACTTTTTAAAATGCTATTCAGGATAAGGAATAACATCAGAAATAAAACTTCAATAACCACAGTGAAATTAATTGGTTAGAAAAGACAATTTCCAGGATATTTCCTTTCTAGAAATATTTAAAAGGTGCTGTTAAAAATTCAAGTGATGACTTTACCAAAAACTAGTGGACTCCTCAGAAAGTGATTAAACCCAATTAAAGATATTTAAAATTAACTAAAAATAATTATGAATGGGATTAAATATATTCTATATCATTTCATCTGAGATAGTTTTCTCATAGTCTTAGAAACATCACTGTAATTGCTTCATTTTATATCTCCTTAAAGTTCTTTAAAATATATTTCAAATGAAAAGTTACTACATATTAAAAATTCATTTTACTAACTTAACCTCCATTTAAATGGAATTTTTTAATATTAAAAGAAGTTTGCAAAAATCCTCTAATAACTCATTGGACAAGTAATCAGAAAACAATCATGGTTACAAGTTACAAACCGTAATATAATTTTTTCCATGCCTGAATTTGTTAAATTTTTTCCAAGGCCTTCTGCATGTCACATACTGTACTAATCCCTCAGAACTGAGAAATGAATAAATTTTCCCCTGTTGTAAAGAAGTTGACTCTTCATCAGAGAAATGAACAAATACACATTATTGCAGTGAGATTTTGGAATTGATGTCAAAGTATACATGGGAGGCTGCAGAAGAGCAAGGACAGATACTAACCTTGATACACTTTGCTCTTCTTTAACACAATGGAAGTCGCTCCCTTCACCGACATTAAATGAAAAGAGTGATGTAGATGTGACATATGAATTCCATGTTTTATCCAAAAATTGTAGGGGAAAATATGGAGTGCATGAAATTCCACCTTTCTTCTGAAATGTACCAGCCATAAATGTGTTGGTTTTACATTAAGAAGTTCAACGTTTTGTGATCCTGATGGGATCACAATAGAAATCTGTTGAAAATACAAAAGAATTTCATAGGGAGGATGAAGTATAAAGGAAAGAACACTATCTTTAGCATATGTAGAGTCCGATTTGAATCACAGTTCTGTCACTCCACATGTGTGTTTAACTTTCAAATCACTTAAACTCTAGCATTCATTTTCTTCATGTACAAAGTAAGATTAATACTAGTTTACTCGTAGTTATTGTAAGCATTTCATAAGATAATACTTATATTACTTATCAGATTACCATCATGAAGGGCCTAATAGAGGGTTCATATGACGGCAGCAATCTAATTTAAAGGCGGGGATTCCAAAGTAGGATACTTAGTCCTTGGCAAGGACTGGGGCAGGGACCTTATGTCAGAGAACTGGGAGTACTAGGCAGGGATGGAAGTGATGACAATGATGATTATTGTGATGAGGATGACAATGAAGGTGATAATTAGTGTGGCTCCCTCCAAAGCTCAGAATGATTTCCAAGGACCAAGAAAAATATTTACTCATAACCTCTAAAATGTGTTTAGGCAAAATCTAGTTTTAGTTAACCTGCAACCTGAGTGGACCGTCCTTATCTCTAAAAGAATGCCTTATCCCGTATTATGTGATCCAATGTGTAAATCACATCTTCCCAGTGACCAACTTCTCCACCCCCTTGATAACAATGGAGTATGAGTATCCCATGTGCATTAGGTCAGTAGTGAAGCTCAGTGACTGGGGAGTAGGATGGAACAGGCTGGCCTGGGACTCAGCCCCAGAAAGCTGGAAGGGCTTGAAGATGGGGAGAAAGTGACCCTGGGAGCAGAGTAGGCACCATACATTAAGAGTAAGTGAAAGGGACTGGAGATTTAGCTCAGTGGCATGGTACCTGCCTCACAAGTGCAAGGTCCTGAGATCGATCCCCAGTACAAAAAAAGAGTAAGCAGACAGCTCACCAGGCCCATTGTAAGGAGGCATTAGGAACAGGAATGTTGCGAAAAGAGATAAAAACTATGTGTGCATACAGATGAGAATTCTGAGAGCAAATATTTGGAATAGTGTCAAGGAAGAAGGTAAGCAATTCCTATAGACCAAGGAACAACAGCAAGAGGGTAGCATTATCCACAATACGGAGCCCAGGAAAGATCTCAACTGGGTTGGAAGAGGCATGGCCAAGGGCAGGCCTCAGAGTGTTGGGCAACAAAGGCCTAGCCCATGAGACTGTTATGGCTTCTCTTACCAAGACAAGGGAGGAAACTCAGCTTATAGTAGATACTGACAACAGAGTGTCTACACAAAGAATTCTATTTCTACATCGGAGAACTTTATACAGCCTTTTCCAAGGACAGGATGATCTCCCTCAACGCCATAACAAGATGGAGGCTGCTGGTGAGGCTTCATTGCAACAGCTCGGGTAATGACAGGAGTGAAGGAGGAAGAGTAAGCTCATTCTGTTTTGTTAGCTCCCAAATTCAAAGTCAAAGCCAGATGATCTATAGTTCAGACCAATTTCCAGCATCTCTCTGAGCATTGAAGTAAGAGAAAAATCTACTAAATTATTCCAGTTGATAATCTTCTCCCTGGGGGATCTTGGATATTAAGCTTATCCCACCTCTTGTCCTACCCCTTGTGCTTTGCTTGTACTTAAGGGTTCATCCTAGGTAAAATATCAGATTTTCCTCTTTCATATAGCTCTCTCTAATCTGAAGGAAAGCTGTGTAGTCAGAGGAGCAAAAGTTTTGAATGCAGGCTCACTTGGATTCCACTCTTAGTTCTAATACTTTATAGTTTCCACCAACATTTGAAATGTGATTGAAAAATACAGTGAATGTTTAAATATTTAAATTTATCCCATCATTCTTGCCACTTTCTGAAGCAGTTCTGGAAGTCCAGTTCCAGTTGCCCAGTTATCACTGCCTCAATGTCTTGAACTGATTCAAAATGTTTACCTTTCGTGGTCATTTTGACTTGGGGAAGGGTGAATGAGACACACCATGTGCTTTTATAAGCCCACCTTTCCATTGGATGCTCTTCAGCAGGAGCATTCATGGCATTTTTTTTTTTTAACCACACCTCATAAAGACACAAAGGAGGACTTCCACAGAACTGCTTCAGAAAGTAGCAAGAAGGATGGGATAAGTGTGTTCAAACTGAGGGGGAGTATTTTGAGGGAGATCAATTACTGTGTGTCTTTTACTGTTATAAATTTTTAAAATGTAAACATTCACCACATATTTTGATTATACTTCACACTTCAGATAGTGCCCCTCTTTGGACACCCGGGGGTCCGTGTTGGTCACTGCTCTTCTCTGCCTCAAGTTCCCCTCTACAGTTTCCAGGAATTTCCTGGGCCAGACAGTCCTAGAGGTACAGAGGAGATGAAATCCCCAAGGCACCCTTAGACAAGTGGCAGCAGGCAGCAGGGGATGAATGTCCCAGCCTCTGTAACTTCTGAAGCACCTTACTCGAGCTGCAGCTGCCCACAGCAGGAGCTATTTGAACATCACCCCTATGGCAGCTCCATCACACTCTCTTTTATGCTCTCAGTCCTTTTGCCTGGGTTCACCTCCCAGATGAATGACCTGTACCTAAGTCCTTGCCGCAGGGTACATCTTGGGAATGAAGACCTGAGAGAAGAGAGGGAGGGTGATTTTGTTTTGTTTTTAATTCGTGCTTGTACCTCATCTCTTTCTCTTTCTCCGCAGGTCACCAAGATGCTGGCAGTGATCGTAATCCTTTTTGCCCTTTTATGGATGCCCTACAGGACTCTTGTGGTTGTCAACTCATTTCTCTCAAGCCCTTTCCAAGAAAATTGGTTCTTGCTCTTTTGCAGAATTTGCATATATCTCAACAGTGCCATCAACCCGGTGATTTACAACCTCATGTCCCAGAAATTCCGTGCCGCCTTCAAGAAGCTCTGCAGCTGCAAGCAGAAGCCAGCGGAAAAGCCAGCTAGCTACAGCGTGGCCCTGAGTTACAGCGTCATCAAGGAGTCAGAACACTACAGCACAGAGCTGGATGACATCACTGTCACGGACCCTTACTTGTCTGCCACAAAAGTGTCTTTTGTTGATACCTGCTTGGCTTCTGAGGTAACTTTTAGCCAAAGTTGATTAGTGAATTACATGAAAATGGACCACAAAGTAAATGAGAATCTCTGCAGTTATGGACAAAAGAGGACGCACCCAAAATTCACACTGGAAGGCATTGCAGTCTTCAGCCCTGCTCTGGCAATTCCTGGTCACCCCACGACAATGATTCAGGTTGTTCTTTTTACAAAACTAGTATCACAAAAACAATGGGGCAAATCTGGAAAACAGCTAAATTAAAAGTTTATCCCCTTTCATTTACTTGGGGAAATCACTATTTTTTCTGGGGTTATGAAGTTACAGTAAACTCTGAATATAAATTTATATTATTTATAATAATCTTATCAAATGTGACTTCCCCCCAAAATTATTCATACATTTGGTAATTTGGCAACATATAAACTTTTAAATATTTTATTTAGTATTTCATTTTCATAAAGTGCAGGGCTTTTCACGAATATCTGAAACTACAGAGAAAAGTAAGAAAAAGCCATTTCAGTTACTGAGTAAAAATGAGATTTCAAAAATGTTCAAAATATTTAAAAGGCTGTCATGATGTTTATAATGTTTAAAAATGCAAAGTATTTCTGACAAAGTAGATTCATCATACAGCTTCAATGTAAAATGAATCTCAGAATACCCCAAATTATCAATTGAAGAGACTTGGTTTGATTTTGAGATAAATCCAGCTCTTACCAAATTTTCAAGCCTCCTAAATAGTGGATGGCAGTAGGAAATACTCAGATTAAATGACCGTGGAGATACAAATTAACATATAATGTGGAAATGTATAGCTAACACAAGGTCTATTACAAAAAAGGATTCATTTTATCTCTGAAACTTTTAAGGAAGAAAATCCTTTTTGAACATTCTCCTGTGTAAAACGACTGAACCATGTCAAGAAAACCCTCCAGCTAAACCTAGCATAGAAGTCTGAAACATTCTCCAAAGCTTTGTCGTTGGCCAAAATCCAACTATTACACTTCCAGATGAAGACTTCCCATTTCGTGTAGACCTCCCATGATGGATTTTAACTTGTCTGCCATTGCTTTTCCTTCCTACAAATTTGTCGTTTGTAGGTTTACTTTCAAATGCTAGTGATATTTTGTGTACATATTCTAAATCAAAGTGATGTGGAAGTCTGTTAACTTTATTTTTCACAGAGACAAAACTGATTTCATAGTATTATCAGTATCTTTATATTTTTGACTTAGACTTACTATTCCTGTGATTATTAGACAGGTGGGAATATGAACCCACCCAGGACATCCGTCTGGTCCTACTTTAATCTTGTTCAAATGACTTACTTACTGAGATTTGGCTAATCAGGCTAAGAGTATAAATCAATCGCCCTTGGTAACGATTCAGTAATCACTGATTTTTAATCAAAAAGTATGTGAAGTACCCTATAGGCTAGCATCTTTCCTCTCCAACCTATATCCCTATTTCTTCAAAATTTCTGGAACTTAGTTGCTAATGATAATTACCTGTCCCCACTTTCTTAAAGAAGAATACATCATTCTGTTTTGGAAGATTCTGTTTTCAAATGCTGCTTCGTGAAGACTCTGCCATCCAGAATACTATTCTGAAATGTGCTTCTATGAAACATGGCCTCATCTACTTCAGGAAGACATTGTTATCCTGTCACCTTATAAGTAAACAAATGCAAGCACATATTTATAAAAATATCCTAAAAATTTATTTGCCTGACACTAAATAGTCTATTTTAACTGAATTTTCATTTTCAATTAAATATTAATCTTGGAGCACTACAGTAACACTAGAGTGACACAGCCTAAATCACACAAGCACATGTGCAGGTGCACACACACACACACACACACACACGTGTACATAAACTGACTAACGAAGGGATTGGAATGAAGTAGAATTTTTTCATTAGGAGAGAGAACTA